AGGGCCCGGCCTGACCGTGTCCCAGGCCCTGGGCAGGAGCTACGGGGACCCGCCGGGTTTGGGGAGGCCGCGGGGTGGCCACGGCCGGGCCTGGGCTCGGGACCGCCAGGAAAGCGCCGTTATGCAGCCAGGGCCCAGTCCGGCAGGAACTGTCAGCACGGCCGGTACCAGCCAGAGGGCCCAGGGGCTGGGGCATGGTGGCAGTTGTGCTGGTGGGTTTTCCCCACCAGGCTAGCGATGTATTTTATGATTTCTTTTTTTTCTCATTGCAGCCCCCTCAAGCCAAACACCAGTTTGTCAGTGTGCCAGGCCCCGTCAGAGTCAAGGATGGAAGCAAGGAGCAGGACTGGGTGTAGCATGGTGCTGGAGGATGCCTTTTGGCTCTGCCCTCAGTCCATGACATGCTGGATGGGTGGCTTGAGGCGACTGACTTGTGCTCAGAAACCAGAGGAGTCAGAAGAGGAGTCAGTTTCTGAGAGGACTCAGAAACCAGAGGAGTCAAGATAGAGGGAAAATTTGGGCACCTCAGTCTTTAAAAGCCACTTCCTCATGGCTCTGGGTTACGTCTCCCAGGGCACCGTTCCTCACAGCAGGAAAAACTGGAGTTTTCCAGTCTGACTAGCCTCTGTGGCTCGTGTTTCAGCTTTTCCCCCTGCTTGATTTAGTTGGCACAGACCAGATACACCAATAAATGGTGTATTTGGGGAAAAACTGGTTCTGGCTCCTGCCTGTAACATCTGCAGGAACAGGCTGGACTCTACCCTTGTGTACAGTTCAAACCCAAGCTTGTTAAATATTTATACCTCGATCTGTGGATCTTATATCTGTACAGGCCCTGTGACAGCACAAATGTTTTCAAACCCCGTTTGGATGTGGTTTCTAGAGTAACCCTTCCAAGTGCACTTTTACCCCTGCCATAATTCTCCCAGCAAGCTGCCTGCCTGCAGAGGTATGTACCAGAGGGACAGAAATAGCAGGTTTTTTGGGACCGAGTCCCAGCTGAGGCTGGAGGCCAGAGTGTCGGGGTTACTGCAGTTAAAACCCTGTATTTACTCTACTTGGGCAGGAGAGATTTTAATGTATTTTTAAAAAACACATGAGCAGAGCCTCTGCCCCTGCAAGGCAGCACTGAAGGCCTGGTTCTCCTCATGCAGCGTTAGCCCTTGTAGGCTGTTGCGGAGGGCGGATAAAATCCTGACAGGGAGGGCAGGATATTAACCTGCTGCCATAAATAAACAGCCCCTCTGTTGTGCCGAGCCCACTGTAGTGTTGGGAAATGCTCCCTGTGGGGACCGAGTACTGACTTGGCAGCAAAGTCTGGGATATATGTCAGCCTCCCACAAAGCACTGATGTTTATTATAAGTGCCCTTTCTGATTCCCTTTGAATTCCCCCTTGTTGTTGCTCGAGTTAACCCCGTCTGTTCTCGTGGTGTCTTGAAAGGGAAAAGAGCACGTGGTGCTGCTGCGGGCTGGCGTCGGTTCTCGGCAGCAATGAGGAAAAGTCGCTTTGCGACGCTGCTGGCTTTTGCTCTAACTCCTGCTTCTGCTGAATTACCTCCAGCTGCCAAAGGACTTATTCCCCTCGCTCCTCACCTCCAGACTGTGGGTCTGAGTCCTGTTCATAGGACCAAGTTATGACAAAACTGTCTTTTTTTTCTAGGAAAAAGGAAGCAGTGCTGTGTTTTTATGCACCTTCAGCCGTCCTGCAGGCCCGTGTTCCTGACTGCTGCCATTGGGCGCAAGGTGGCTGGTCCCTGTTGGTGGGGGTCGGTGTGGGCAGTAGGTGCCTGGTTCCTGTGTGTGCAGAGTTTTTTGGGAGCTGGTGGCCACAGTGTCTGGAGAGAGGTGTCAGAACCAGGTTAGGCAGAGTGATGGTTACTGAGATCGTTGGGTTTTGGGGTACATGACTCACCAGGAGAGGCAGTGGGATCTGGGTCTCCCTTCCCCTGGGCAAGAGGAAGCTGTGTGTTGTCTACCAGCAGCCTGTGGCTCTTGGCCAAAGATGACAGAGCCAGTTTATTCTCAGATGCAAGGGGCAACAGCCACAAGCTGGGGCTTGGGTGGTTCAGGCTCTGCCTGTGAGGGTGGTGTCACCCTGGACAAGGTGACAGCAAAGTTGGGGCCTCAGGGATCTGCAGGACTGGGCTGCACAAAGCCCTGAGCACCCTTGGCTGGGGCTGGTGTTGGTCCATGGGGGCTGGAGAGGGGACGCTGGGGTCTGTTCCCCACGTGCTGTGGCTGTTGCCTTTTTGGGGATGCAGATACCCGCTTGCTCACAGGAGTCCCCACTCCCATCCAGAGCTGCCTCTGCATCGCTGGGCGTTTTGGTTTTGAAAGGGTGCAAGCAGGTCTAGCGGGCTGCAGGGTTTGGACTGAGTGGGGAGAGATCTCAGTGCAGAAACTGGGAGAGAATTTGTCTGCTCGGGGTTGGGGGGTTATCGGTGCCCTTCCAGCCTCAAGTTCATCAGCAAGCACAGACTCTGTGTTCAAGCTAACAGGTACAAGTCTGCTGCTCAGAGCCCTGATTTCTTGTGTCTGTTGGGCTGCCGTTGACCGTGCTGGCTTCCAGGTAGCACAGGGATGCAGTTTCTTACTGCCTTGTGAGCTTTGCATCCCAGTTGTGTCAGAGGTAGCTTATCTCCTCTCACGCCCCAGCTGTAGGGATCAAGCAGGGTTCTCCCTCTCAGCCCTCGTGTTTCTTGGTCCAGGCTGAGATGTTTCTGAATTCTTCCCCTTTGCCACTGATGCTGGGTCACCCATGGCAACCCTTCCAGAAATTTCCTCTGATTTAGTGTGCTGCAGGTGAGCCTACGGCTTGATGGGTGCAGATGCTAAAGGGGAGTGAGTTATGTGGAGCTACAGCTAAACCAGCTGGAGGAATTTAGGGCTGGCTCAAGTTGCACATCCAGAGTGAGCAGGGTCCACAGAAGCCTCATTTAACCCACTGCTGTCTTTCAGCCTGTAAAACAGGGGTAGCCAGCTCAGAGCGGTGCCAAAACCGTGCTAATGTCTCGGTGATGCCCTGAAAACATTTGAAAATGAGCTTTGAATGGAGTTGCCTGTTTAGGATAAATATTTGATGTGCACAGCATGAACAAAACAGTCCTGTCCTGGCCTGTTTTCAAGCTCTTTTCTTTCCATTTCAGAGCACAATGTTCCTGGTCGGACTCTCGGGTGGAATCGCGTCAGGGAAGAGCACGGTGGTGGCCGTACTCCGGGAACTGGGCTGTGCTGTGATTGATGCCGATGTTATTGCCAGAGAGGGTGAGTTCTGCATAGTCGATCTTTCTCCCCGAGTTTCCCCTGACGACTGGGATTGATGTGGGGAAGCGCAGACGGCAGAGGGTGCTCTGGCTCTGTTAGAGAAGTGTTTCCCTCCATTCCCCAGCCGATGAGGCTGCGTGGAGCCTCATCGTCTCGCTTGCACTAGGATATATTTTTAATAAAGAAAAAAAAGAATCATGTCCTAATAAACACTGTGGGGAGATCTTGCCCTGAGTTTCCCTCTCCTGGAGTGCAATGCTTGCCGGCTTTGAAAGCCAACTCCGGGCAAAATAAATACGGTTCTCTGTAAAGCGGGTTCCCTCGGCTGATCTCGTATCCCTGCTAAGCCCCAGGACACCCATTCTGTAATTTGGTTATGTTTGGTGGGATCACTAACAGAAGAGAATTTCCCTCCGTGCTGGCTGTGGCTTGCTGGGTAATACTGAGAGATTGGTCCACAAAATTACTTGTGCCTTAATGCAGTTAGGAAAAAGAGGCTGCAGCTATCCCGGATCAGAGGGAATTCAGCCTGTGTGTCTGCACAGCACACCTGCCTCTTGCTGCTCCCAGAATGTGCTGCCCTGGCTACAGAAAAGACCCAGAAATCCCGATCTGTTGCCTCAGCAGGACTGGAGCAGACCCTGCCCGCCCTGATTACCTGTGCGATGCGGCACAAGATGTCAATCCCTCCGTGCCACCGGGATAACGAGGAGAGCAGCGCTTGCTCCAGGAGGGGCTGCTGATTTCGTATGCAGAAGGTTTCGGGTCTGCAGCTGAGCAGTGGTGCAGGCAGTGTCATTCGGAAGTGCCTGCACTTTGCTGTTTGGTGAAGAACTTACCCTGTAGCCGTGCAAAGCTGTGATGCTCTTAACATTTTATTGCACTGTAATTCCCCTCAAGGTGCAGAAAATTTGCTGGAGGTGCTAAAAGCCCTCAGAGACCATAGGAAAACACTGCAGATACTCAGTGTCAGTTTTCTACCAATCACTTCATTTTTCTCCAATTCCTTTTTTATATGTGTTTGTTTACTCCATGGATTTTACCCATCCTGAAACTGCCTCGATGTGAAATTCCACAGGAGAAAGAAATTGGTCTTAAAGACTTTTATTAGGTTGGCCTGAGGTTACAACCTGTGGCAATGTTCCTGGATTTTGGAGAAAAAATTATATATGGTCTGTCATTCTCTGTGGTTAGCCTCAGCTTGATCTTAATTATGGTTTTATTACTGCTTGTTAGTGATCTTTTGGTGGCTTTAAAATGACACGCTCGTGTAATGTCAGAGTCCCTGCACATACCTGTTGGGAACTGATCTCTCGGAAGGTTTCTGTGTTCATTCTCATGAAGAATTTGGTGACAGAGGCAAAGGACAGTAAAAAGCCATAGTAGCAGTCAGAGCCAGCTTGTAGCAGCCAGGCTGTATTCACCCAGTGCTGAAGTTTCCAGCTAAAATAAAGCTGGCGCTGCCTGGGTCCCTTTAGGATCTGCCTGCCCGGCTCCTGGCCCTGCAGGCAGTGGGAACGGGCTCAGCACCGCTCCTGCCCGCGCCTTGGCTGGGAGCTGTCAGCAAGTGCCCCCGCCCGCCGGCTGACTTCTAACCCCAAGCAGCAGCACGCCCGAGGGAGGGTTGCGGCTCTGAATTAATGTTTGCAGGATGCTTCGATCTCCCGGGCGTCAGCCCTCGAAGGGACCTTGGCCTGAGCGGGTTTTCTGCAGCTGCTTTCCTGCAGCACCGACGCCAGGTGTCTGCCGGGCTGCAGCGCTGAGCCGCGCCGCTCTCGCTTCAGCCTGTGCTGGCAGGCAGATGTGCTGCCCGCCGAGGAGAATCAAGCTCGGTTATTTAATGAACAAAACTCATTTGAGGCCGATCGCTGATGCAAACACCGACTGTGCTGCAGAGCTGGCTCTAACCTCCGGCTGTTTAACGTTATCAGTGGTGCAGCCCCACTTCAAGGCCTATCGGCAGATCGTGCGTTACTTTGGCACCGAGATTCTCTTGGAGAATGGAGAGATAAATCGTGAGGCTCTAGCAAACATTATCTTCTCCCACCCGGAGAAACGGCAGCTGCTGAACTCCATCACCCACCCGGAGATCCAGAAGGAGATGCTGAAGCAGATCTTGAAGCACTTTGTGCTAGGTAAGAGGCCCTGTCCCAGCACGCGGGACTCCTGCTCAGGCAGGAGCTGTCCCTGCCTGCGGGGCCTTCGGTTCTGAGTGGGGAGAGGGACGGGGAAGAAGGGGAACGACGCTGCCTGGCGGCCTTTGTGCTCTGCCACCCGTGGCCTTTCGTCCTGGCGTTTGGAGGATTCCTTCCTGCCTTTCGCTGCTGCCCTTCACCACCTCCTTCTTCTGTGGTTTAAAGTACATCTGTAGGGCCTGAGAAGAGCATTGTGAGGCCTCTTCTGAGATTACGTGCTGGATAATGTCACACCTTCTGAAATGGCCAAATATTCTTCTCTGCCCCCAACCTTCCCCAGCTTCAATGAAAGCTGCGGAGCCCTTTCAGTCTCGATAAGGTGAGAAATGGGCTGACAGCTGTGGTTTCCAAAGTCCTGCTTTTTCCCCTGATAAATATAACAAATACAGCTGTCAAACTTGGTCTACTCAAATGCCAGATAAGATCACCAGCTGTTTTGGAGGTCTCTGTGTAGACAGAAGGATCTCTTAATAGAGTCAGTCTGGTTTCGTGAAGCTTATCAAAGCTGAGCCTTGTGACAGCTGAATAGGCCTGTGCTGGGGCACTGCGGGGGCCGTTCTCTGCTGTGAGGTGAGGAGGAGGAGAAAGCACAAAGGAAGCAACAGGCAGGAAAGCCGGGAGCCAGAGATGGAGTCTTGTACTTGGGGCTGTGGGCTCGGGAGGCGGATGCCGTCCTGCCCTTCAGCGAGAGCTCTGTGTGTCTTCAGCAGGCTGCTTTGTCCTCATTAGTCAGGTTTTAATGATTTGGGATAGCTGGATGTTGTCTCTAAGGATCGCTGTGTAAGGAAAGCTCTTATCGATCAAACCATAGGGCAGCAAGAAGTCTCTCTGGGTGGAGATGCTGGTAAAATGATGGCATATTGGCTGATGATGTCTTTGTCAAGGCTTTTATTGCCATGGCCAGCTCAGCTGTGGGGTTCAGGTTATAAAGAGGGGGGACACCAGCAAAACTGGAGGTGTCCCTGCAGCTGGGGGACACACGGGAGTGAGGCCCTGACTTAGAGCTTTCCCTACCCCCTGCCGCTCCCGCAGGCTCGCCAGGGCGTACCCCCATGTCCCCAGACGCTGCTGTCTGCTGGGGGAATTGGTGCTTGCGAAGGGTGGGGGCACGTGGAGAACCTGGGGTGGGCTGCAGGGTCCGGGAGGAGGGCGGCTGGCGGTTATGAGCTCTCCTCTGCCACCTGCTCTGCCTGGTGATGACAATTTTGAACCAAACTTGGCCAGGTTTGGTGAGGTCAGGCCCCCCCATGTTTCAGTGTCCCAGCTCTGAGAGGTCTGCAGGGATTTCTTTGGAAAAATAGAAGTGTTTAGACAAAGCTTTCCATAAAGGAAACCAAACTGAGCTGGGAAGCGTCAAATGACGGCAGCCTGGGACAGGTGAGAGAACAGAGCAAGCTCTGCTGTGGGCTCTGCTCCCCTGGAGAGGCCACCAGCAGCGGCGTGACTGCTGCTCTCGCCAGCCAAGCACAGGCGCTTTCACTTGGGCTTCTTGTTTCAGCTCCTCATTATATTTCTCCAGCTTCACCTTTGATCTGAGATCATCCAGGTTAGGGTTTTCTGTTGTGTTTTGGTTTGTTTTTTTTTTTTTTTCTCTGGAAGCCTGGAACAAAACCATTTCCTGCCCAGGAGAGGGAGGAGGGCCCTCAGGCTCAGCCGTGGAGCTGAGAGCTCTCCCATCGCTTTGCTGGAGCAGCTGTGGCCACGGTGCCTGTGCAGCACAAGGGGGTTGGGAATCCGAGTGACTGTTCCCTTTGGGTGGGGGCTTGGTCATTCCTGCAGGCTGCCGCTACGTGATCCTCGACATCCCTCTGCTCTTTGAGACCAACAGATTGACCAAGTTTATGAAATACACAGTCTTGGTTTATTGGTAAGTGCCGTGAGGGCTGGGACTCTGCCACCTCTCTTGGAGGCTGGAGGGGACCGTCACATCCCTCTGGCTCTGGGGAGGATTTGGCCGCAGCCCTGGTGCCGAGCCTGTCGACAGCACCACCTCTTTTCTGTAGGTGGGAGGGCAACACCTTCCTTTATCCCAGTGCACGAGGGGCTCCTTGCTGAGGTGTCCCTGAAACCCTGCACTGTTGTACGGGGGGAAATCGCTGTCTTTGGGCCTTCCGTTGGCTGGGGCAGGGTTTGGGGCAGTGCCGCGGTGGGAACACCCACAACACGCCTTGGGGTCGGCCTGGGCAGCACTGCAAGGGTGGCTCTGCTGATCCGAGGGCAGGATGCCTGCACTGGTCCCAAAATGAAGCAGGGAGCATCTCTGCCCCCAACTTTACCTCAGTCATTCCCCCTTGTGCCAAGGAGGGCAGGCAAACCCCCCCTTCCCTCCCATCCTGGCAGTGACCCGCCGACGCAGCTGTCCCGGCTGAGGAAGAGGAACGGGCTGTCCCAGGCTGAGGCAGAAGCTCGCATCGCCTCCCAGCTGCCGCTGGACGAGAAACGCAAGTTAGCAACTCATGTCATTGACAACTCCGGGGAGTGGGAGAGCACGCGCCGGCAGGTCCTGAGCCTGCACGCCCACCTCGAGGCTTCCCTGGATTTCCTCTGGGCACGGCTGGCAGCGGGCACGGTTGTAGTCGGGCTCGGAGGGCTGGTGTACCTTCTCCTCCAGCATTTCATCTCTTAATTCACCTTTTCCTTTTTGTCATGGAAGAGGCCTGAATTTCCAGGTTTGAAAAGGGCAGTGAAAGGCCACCTCTTTTAATGAGCTTTGCCAGCTGAATGCAGACAGTGAGATGAAGCGTCTCCTTGCCGACTCCCCAAGGTGAATGTAGTGGGGCTTTTTCTGGCATCATCTCCCCTCCTTTCTTCCTGCTCAGCTTCTTACCCCCCAGCTGTGCCCATGGGGTGGGATGTTCCCCTTGCATGGCTGCGGCCCACGGAGGGGACGAGGCCCTCTGTCCCCGGTGGGTACATACAGTGGGACTACAGTGAATTTAGGCTCTTTAATGCCCTCCAGGACAATCTCTTCACTGGGGGAATAGGTGACCTCTCGAGTCCTGTTTCTGTGAGCCCGTTGATCCCTCACAGCCCTGGCTAATATGAATTTAGATATGGAATTTTCCTTTCTTTCATGTTGATTTAATGGAAATGTGTTAAATCTGCCTGTCCAGGGACAGACAGCACCTCATTTCCCATGGGTTAGGGGTTCAGCTGGCTGCTCGCCCTCACTCCTGCACCCTCTTTCTGTGATCAACACTTGTGGGTCACCCTTGGCTTTGGATCTGAGGGTCTGCTACATCCCCAGGGCAGGCTGAGACCCAGGACCTGCCTTGCTGAAACTCATTTACTGCTGTTTGAGTTTTCTTTTGGCAGCAGTTTCCCTGTGGGAGAGCACGAGTTGGGGCGAAGCGGGTGCTGGCTCTTCACGTTTGTTTTAATAAAGTGCTAAGCAGCAGCTGGCTCCCTGCGGCTCTGCAACCTGCAGGCTGTGAGCGCTGCTCTTTCCTGCCCGGCTCCCAGGTCGTTTCTATGCTGGGGCACGGCTGCGCTCTGTAAAGTTCACTGCACGCAAGCAGAGCTGCCGAGCGTGCTTCTTCCCCAGTACATATCCCTCAGCCGCTCCCAGGGAGCTTCTTGGGGCGTCGGCTCCCGCCGTGAGCTTCCTTGGGGGGGTCCGTGGCTTCCTGCCGGCTCCGGGCACCCCACGGTGCGGGTCTGGCTTCCCAGGATGTGATCCTTGGACTCGCTGTGGTTTTCTGTGGCCAGCGCTTTAACCCTGGGGCAGCCTTGTCCTGCTGCCACCCCCTTGTCCTGCTGCCACCCCCCTGTCCTGGCGTTTTGACAAAGGGGGTGGTCCCTGGGGCCCTCTGGGGTGCTTGGGCTACTGACCCAGCAGGCAGGGATGCCGCAGAGCCAGGCAGCGTCCTCGCTGGCCCCAGCTCTAGCCTATGGGTGCAGGGACCTTTCCCAGGGTGTCCCAGCCCTGCTCCCCAGGCACCCTTCCCACCACCTCTGACCCAGCTCTGTGCCCGAGGGTCCCGTGTCTCACTCACCCAGGGGAACCCTGTGGCCCTTGGGGAGCCCCAGGAGAACATCCCCGAGCTGGGGCGCCCACCCTGGGTACTCCAACTTTCCAGGCAGTGCTGGAGGAGCCATACACAAGCGATAACCCTCTGCCGGTTCCCTCCCCTGCTTTTTAATGCTCCCTTAATTGCGGTGGTGGTGCCGGGAGCCCCTCGCAGCCAGCCATAAATCAGGGCTGGAGCAGGACAGCCTCAGCCCGAGATAAGCGCTGATTGCCTTCCTCCCTCCTGGCTCACCACCGCGATAAATGGGGCTGCGATGAGGCCGGGGGGGGGAAGGAGAAAGTGAGACGGGCACTGTAATCACATTTGGCGCTTTGCTCCTGCCCTGCTGACGTTTGCCGGCCACTAACGAGTTTAGCAGGGCCCAGGGGGTGAGTGATTTCAGGGGGGTAGTGAGGCGCAGGGCTCCCCACAGCTCTGGCCATGGGGCTGGTGTGGCCTTGGGGTGCCTGGTTTGGGGGTGCCTGTTGTCCTGGGCTGAGCTGGGGGTGAGCCCCATGGGTGGGCTGCGTGCCTGGGTGTTGGCACCCACCCGGGAAGGGCTCCTCAGCCTGGTGCTTGGCCACCAAGTGCCTCCCGTGGGTGCCACCTGGTACCTGGCCATGGCACCTGCAAACCTGCCTGGGTCCCGCTCCCGGGCAGCCCCCAGCCAACCCCACCTTGGGGACCCGCTGGCAGGACCCGCTGTGTCCATGCCAGTGGCCACCTGGCTCAGCCCGCAGCTGTACCCCGCCGGTGCCTGATGGCTCTGCTCGTAGGCTGCTGGGTGGCCTCAATAGCTCAATCGATGGCCGTGGAGGGAGCCTGAAGGGCAGCACCTGCCCGGCCCCAGCAGGGACCCCCTGGCTGAGACCCCTGCACTTGTGACACAGATGCTGCTGCCACACGGGCTCCAAGTGGCCTGCAGGTGCCAGCGGAGGCCCGAGGGCTCTGTGCCGCATCCCCTATCGCTGCTGCATCCCCCCAGCCCCACGTGCTGAGGCTGCCCCTGCTCGCTGCGCCTCCTGCCATCGATCGAGCCGTGTCTGGAGCAGCCGCTCGCCGTGGCCCATCCGTCTCCTCTCACCGAGGGCTGTTTGAGCAGGAGCCGGCCTGGCCGCGCGCAACCCAAATATTTAACTGCTGCAAATTGGCGGCCGGATCAATTCCGCTGCGGCTGCTGGGGGCTCGTGACAGACGGCTGCTCCTCTCCTGTGCATCCCCTCCCCAGCGCACCCCTTCTCC